CTAGAAGTGGTCCCATCCAGAAGAAGCCTCCCTCACCCCCTCCTCTGAGGAGGAGGGCGCCAAAGGGATAATGCCCAAGAGGACTCTTTAAAGGTGGGCAGCAGTTGGCCACATGAAGAATCAGGAAAGGACTAACCTGGTAGAAGGAACAGAGAGCCCTGCGGAGGGGCATAGGGGCACATGAGAGCGTGGAGTTTGTCAAGAAGTGCAAATTCAGTACAGCCAGGGGATCAGATGTGAGCTGGAGACTGACAAGCTAGAGACCCGGCAGGGGCCCAGATCAATGTCAGACCTCAGCTGGTACAGAAAAGGAGAATAAAGGATTTTAAGCAGGTATAACTACACAGGATGTAAGAACCAGAAAACCCCAAAAGAAGATGCTGGGAATCCTAAGTGGATCCAGGAGTTGGGAGGGCTTCGGGGCTGGCAAAATCCGGTACTCCAGCTCTTCCAGCTGCATTCCTCGCCAAATTTCCCTGTCCTACCCTCCGCTGTCAGTGTCACCCAGCCTTCATAGTCATGTATGTATCCAGAGGAGGCAAAGCACATCTGTTCCTGTGGCTCTAAGATTTCCCAGAAGCCCCTTGAAGATCTCCCCTTATCTCTTATTGGCCTCAACTGGATCATGTGTCCATTCTTGTTCCAATCCCTAGAGCTAAAAGAACGCCATGTGTTGACTGACTTAGGTCTGGGGCGAGGCTGATGGAATTATTATGATTGGCTTAGCCTAATCAGAGCCTACATCTGAAGCTGGGTCAATCTCCAAACCACCTGACTGCTTAGCAACAGTCTGGGAAGTGAGACACTGAGATGGGGAGGGGGTAAGGGATCGGTTCTGTGACAACGAGTTGAAGGTTCAGCTCTAGTGGAGGCAAGGACAGAGAGCATCACCACCCAGCCTGGAGAGCCAGCCAAAACTGTCTCTCTCCCTACACTGACCACTCAAGGCCCACCACTTCCAAGAAGCCTGCCCAGATTAGCTCCATCCAGTTCCTAGCCTTCCAAACTTTTCTGCTTTCTCCTTCCAGGGTCAAGGATAAGTCTACATCACTCATTTGCCTTTTTCCCCATCAACCCAGAGACTCTCTTAGGGCAGGACATGTCTCCACCATCAGACTGGGAACTCCTTTAGTGGGGGTGGAGGCTGGTCTCCCCCATTAAGACTCAAGTTTTTCCATAGGGCAGGGACTGTGTCTCCCCCCTCAAGTTGGAGACCTCACCTAGGGCAGAGGCTGTATCTCCATCAGATTGGAGGTCTCTCCTATGGGAAAGGCTCTGTCTGTCCCATGAGCCCAGGGGCCCCCTCCAGGCAGTGGCTGTCTCCCCAACAGAACAAGGGCTCCCACAGGCAGGGGTTTCTCTCATCAGACTCTGGGTTCCCCGGAGGCAGGAAGGTATCTACTCAGTCAGAAACCTGAGGTTTCCCGGGCTGCAGCCACAGGGCCCCCTTCCACAGAAGCACACGGGGAGTAGCCCTCCAGAACTATCTCGTGTCTTCTGATATTGCAGAAAGAGCACCAAATTCTGAGAGAAGCTGACTTCAAGAAGTGGCTCCATCGCAAGCTGCTGCCCCAAGGCCAATCCCTGATCCGCAACACTCAGGGAGAGCCCCGTCCTCCACCCCAGGCCACTGTGCTCTCCAAGACCCCCAAGCACGGGGCACTGTGGCCTCCCAAGAGCTTCTACCCCTCCCAAGAGGCGTGCCTGCGACAGACACTGCAGCCCAGTCAGCCCTCGGTGATGCCTATACCCACCTGCAAGCAGCTCATGGTCAGGCGGCCCAAGGTGTGGAATCTCAGCAACAACCCTGTCAGGTCCCCCACCGCCCAGATCGGCTACCCGCAGGGCATCCGCCTGGGCGTGCATCCCGACCCCAGGCCGGAGCACGACTTCCGCTGCTTCCTCGAGGTGAGGTCCGACGGGCACGGCGGTGCGCTCCTGCGCACGGTGGCCGGCAACCAGGTGGCGCCTGTGCCCCGGCTGCCTTTAGAGGTGATAATCCGTGAGCTGTACCCGTCGCTGCAGCCGTGCAGGATGAAGGTACCCCAGGGCTTCTGTTCTGTCACCATGAGAGAGGTGCCCCGGAAGCGGCGCCTGGGTGATGGCACCTTCTGGACCGACACTCTGAGCATGAACCTGCGAGAGACATTTGACGAAGGCTTCCTGGCAGCTGTGCGAGCCCATCAAGGGCTCCCCACTCTGCCCTCCCCCAAACCACCCCCCACTTAAACTTATTTTGGTAGCCTCCCGACTGGAGGCTGCCCAGTGAAAGCTGAGGTGTGGTGATTCTGTATGGATGGGGAGGAAGGGGAGTGCCCACAGGCTGCCCACCCCCAAGCTCAAGGATCGGAGCCCCCTCCCCGACAAAACCCAGCTCCCAGGTCTCCCTTCTCTCCACAAAGGAATCTCTTGGACCCCCCCCAGGATCTCCAAGTTAGGGCAGTAGGCCAAGGCTCAGAGTGGGGATCCTCCTCTATCCTGGGCCTTACCATTGTAAAAGTGACACCTTGGTGTCCCCATTTCCCTTCCTCACACCCAACAGCTCACCAGGGACAAGGATTCCAGGATGAGGGACCACTGGGAAATTCTGCCTCTTGTTCATATTAAGTCCTTCCTGCTGCAGGTTCTAAGCCTCACTCTGCATCTCCAGAACAGGGAGGAAGAGAGCTAACGTGTCACCCTGTCTTTGGCTTCCCTGCCACTATGGGCTGCCATCCTTCACTCCCAGCTGCCACTGGGGTTTCTGCAGCACAGGGAGGAACAGGCAGCCTTTCTGGAGGAGGGGGGGAGGACCTATGGCTTCAGTTTGAGACTGAAAGCACTTGTGCTTTCTCCAGGAAGCTATCCTGGGTCCCCTGCTATCCCCTGTACATATCACTACAAATCATTCATTAAACAAACATTTATTGAGTACCTTCTATGTGCCAGGTGCCAAGCTAGGCACGGCTGATACAAAAACTGAAGGACGATTCCTGCCCTCAAGGAGCTTACAGTCTAACGGGGAGATAAACCAGTAAGCAGGCAAGTAAGCCCAGAGTGATCTGTGTGGTGTGCTGGAGGGAGAGGGGACATTCAAAGTTCCTTGGAGGAAGTGAAATCTAAGTTGAGAACTGACAGAGAAGGTACTCAGGCGAGCAGAAGAAAGGGAATTAAGGTGGCATCTCTGGATACAGGAGGCTGAAAATCAGAATGCAAGGTGGCAAGTGATGAGGCCAGAGAGGCGAGCGAGAGCCGGGACACCACGAGCCTCACGAGCCATGCTCAAGGGTCTGGACTTTATCCTGACGGGGGGAGCCATGGAAGGTTGTAAGCCAGGGAGTGACTAGATCAACCATGCATTAGAAAGACAACTCTGGCTGTGGGATAGAGAAGCAGAAGGAGGCCGTCATAATAATCCAGGTGAAAGGTGCTGACAGAGGGGGTGGCTCAAATCAAGAGATGTTAAGAAGGGAAACTTGACAGTTGTTAGAGATTGGATGTCAGGGCAGAAAGAGAAAGCAGGTTTCTGGTCGGGCTCCTGAGTGATCTTGGGGCCAAGGCAGGTACCCAGAAAAGGCAGGTTGCAAAGGGTGGCACCAAGTGCTATCTGGGCCATGAGAGTTGTCTGTGTGCCCAAAGGCAGCAGAACTGTGGTTCAGAGGACCGAGAGGGATGCTGGGGCTGGCTGTCGGCTCTCAATTCCTTGAAACCTTCAGCACGGATGGGCTCCTCCAGGGAACACACGACCGAACCCTGAGAAACCCCACTGCGTGGGGGGTGAGTGGAGGGGCCTGCACAGGACCCGGAAAGGAGCAGCCAGAGAGGGAGAACCAGCCACAGAAGTGCTTGGGACGCTGGGGGTGACGAGCCCCGCCCGATGCTGCACAAATCCAGAAAGAGGAGATATGAAGAGGGTCCGCTGGACTTAGCACAAGGTCACTAGCAACCCCCAGAACACTGGCAGTGGAGTGAATGGAAGGCAAAGCCACACCATTGGGGTGAGAAACAAAGAAATGGACAGCAACGGAGAGCAAGGCCAGCTGCTGGCCAGCAGTCAGGACACTGGCCTCCAGTGTCCTCCACCTTGTCCTCCCTTGTCTGCATAGGACAAAAGGGCCTGGCAATCTCAGTGCCACTGAGAGAAGGCCAAAATGTACTGCTCCTCCCCAGGAAAGGGGAAGCCTGGTATTTTTAAGAGAACGGGAATGCTAGACCCAAGGAAATGAAGGGCTACGGTGGGACTTGAGGCAGAATGTAGAGGTAAGATTTTCAAGCACAGAGGTCTTCCCTGTGGCTGAAAGGTACCACATGCGTGCAGTCCATCTCCGCACCTGTCTGCTTTGCTTTGAGGTATAGGACGTGTCCGGTAATGGCTCTCGTGGGGACTTCATTCGCATATGTACTGCTGAGTACTTGTAAGGCACTGTAGTTGGAACGCAAGGTCAACAAATGCTGGCCTGTGCCCAGGACCTGGCCTGCCGTTTTAGAAGACTGATCACCTCCCCAGGAGCCAAGACCACTCAGAAGAGAGGGCCAGCCCTTGTGTGCTCTTAGAGTGACAAACAGCTTCTCTCACCAGCCCTGTTTCTTACAAAACAGGCGGTAGCCCAGGCTGCCAAGAAGCCAATTTTTAACGTTTCTCCTCGAGCCTGAGATAGAATTCAGCCAGAAACCACTCTCTTCCCTAGGCCAAGACTTATAAATAGGATACTGTACACGTTCTCCTGAAAAATCTAACCCAGTCCCACACCATCCCCTCTCTGCCCCCAGTCTGACAGTCACGGAGCCCTGAGGAAAGAAGAGATGGAAGGAGAGAGAAGGGGATTAATAAAGGCCGCATCCATCCCCACTCCCCCGCCTCCCACTCCAGGCTCAGCTCCTCATCTCTGTCCCCTTCCCACTAAGGGCCACAAGAACAGTCCCTTCGGAAAGGCAAGACCCAAACCCAGAAAAGGAGCCCCTGGCGCAGAAAAGCCAGTCCAGGCGGAAGGTCAGCAGGAAGAAAGGAAGATGAACTTTCAGGGTATTAAGGCAAACAGGGCCACCTAGAATCTTTATTCAAACGGGAATCAGCACTTGGACAGAAATCACAGTTCAACAGCAAAACTTTCTCTTGCAAGTGCTAAGCCACGGCCCCTCCCCATGGCCATCTGCCCATAGCAGTTATCACTGTCTGCTCTCCAGCTTCACGGCCCCTGCCCTGCCTGCCCTGGCTGAGCCAGAACTCCGGACCCATCACAGGAGGGGGCGGGAGGGCCACAGGAGCTCAGCTTCTGCACACCCAGGTGGACCACAGCCTCCTGGCTAAGCAGGCACCGCATCCTCCCTGGCGCCCTCTGAGGCCTCAGCCTCCGGCAGCATCAGATCTGAGCCAAGCTGAGCCTCCTGAGGACGGTGGGGATGGGGGCTTCCGGGGGAGTCGAGGGAAGGAGGGCCAGCGCTGGGGGAAGGTGCCTTCCAGCTCCCGGCACCCACCTATTGCAGAAGCCCAGGGGCCTGACTCTCCTGATCTTGCCCCAGCATCCCCTCCGCAGAAGTTCAGTACATCTTCTGCCGACTGGGTAGAATGGCCTCTTTGATGAAGGAGAAGACAACCAGGATCCCTAAGCGTTTGCCCCGCTTGCCTTTGGTGAAGTAATTGGAGACCACGTCATCTGTGGAGACACAGGCAGGGAGATGAGAGAGTGTGTGTGTGTGTGTGCAGGGAGATGAGAGAGTGTGTGTGTGTGTGTGTGTGTGTGTGCGTACACAGCTCTGCCCACCCACCCAGAGTCCAAGTGTCTCCATCACAGGGCGGGCTCCAGCTCCCCCAGCAACTCAGGCCTTGCTGGCGTCCTCCCACCATGCCTCCCACCTTACAAACCCCTTCTCACCTCCGGGCTGCATGGTGGAGGGCAGGACGTTCTCCCCAGCCGACAGTGACACAAAGAACGCAAACGGGATTATCCACAGACAGAAAGTGAAATAGGCCAGGACCTGGCAACAGAGACACTGAGATGAGGGTGCCCCTGGAGATGCCAAGGCTGGGCCAGGTGTGCTCACCATGTATCTTAGAGAGGCGGTCAAGTGTGCCCCACACTTGATCTCTGAAGGGGACCAGGGCCCGGGAAGCAGAGACAGGACACCCCCAGACATGGAGAAAATTCAGTGGGGAAAGGTGGAGACCAAAGATGACTGTGTGGCCACAATCCCCAAATCGTGGTCACTAGGACAAGCAACTCCTCTGAACCAAAGGAGGCAGATGGAGGGCAAAACCATGAATGACCCATGTTCCCTAGAGAAGCGACCTTGTTCTTCCCCAGGGGTTCAAACTGGAGTAGCAGGGTTCAGGGTTGTGGCCCACCCCTGCCCTGTGAGGTCTGCGTCAGACCAGGCCACCCCACCGCCCCTTCCTGACCTTAGGATGCTAGGCTGGGATGCTGGCATCCCCAAAGGACTCACTGGGAGACAGCAGTGTCCTCCCCACCGCAGCCAAAGGGGTCCCTGCTTCTCATCCTCACTGCTTTCTAAAATCGCCTATACCATTTTTTTAAAAAATGTGTCATCCCTGAATAAACTCAGTTTCAAATCATAGTCTCAAATCATAGTCAAGTTCACAAAGAAATCACGCAAGTCCCTTTTACTCGCTCTGTCCCGGTTAGTAGTTTGATGACGTACTGAATACTTCTTACCTCTGAGAAGGGATAATATTCCTCTGCAAAAAACTGAAACGCTAGGCAATGATTCACCACCACTAGCCCTGTTGAGGGAACGAAGAGTCATTTATTCTGGGGTGGATAACATAAAGCAGACTTTCAACCTTCACAAGGCCCCGGAGGTTGGAAGCCGACTCTTAGTCCTGACCTCACACCCAGCTCAGAGTATGGCTCCGTGCCAAGCGCACTGCTGTCCAGAACCCAGTTTCCCGTCTGTTAGAATGGAAGAACTAGCCCCACCCCACCTGCCCGCTGCAGAGGGCACGCATGAATCCAATTAGAAGTAGGTAAAACACTCTTTGAATATTATAAAAATGAGACTCCAGCGCTACACACTCCAAAGCACGGTGCCAGTTGACCTGGTCTTTAGCGGCCATGAGTCCTGAAGAGAGCTCCGCAGGGCTGTGTGGGAGGGTGTCACGGGCGTGCAGAGCACACGCTCCCAAGGAGTCCACTCCAGACGGGGCAGCAGGGAGGAGGCTCTCACTCCTCAGGAATGAAAGGGCACAGTTTGCTAGACGGTTTGCAGTGCAATCATAGGGTTCCTCAAAATTCTGGGGGAGGGGTCCGTCCTCAGGATAAGGTTCACTGGTGTGAACTGGTATGTTCTGGATCCCACCACCTCCTTAGCATGCAGCCAAATTCAGAGAGAGATCCCGGGGACTCGCTGCTCCGAGACAGGCATTTCTGCCGGTTCCCACGGTGAGGTGAAGGGCAGGCACCAGAACAAGGCATCCCCTCACACCCAACACCCCTCACATACACCTCACAGCCAACTGCCACGAATCTTTCCTCTTTTCTCCTCTCTTGCCTCTCCCCTTCTAAGGCAGACAACCACAGCTCTGCCGCTCCTAGCCGCGCTCTAGGGCGAGGGCATACTGGAAGATAGGATGGTACCTGACACCCACAGATCTTCAGAAAAACTCTCCCAGGCATCTTGAGGGCAAGTCAGGGGAGTGACAAAGGGAAGCCAAGGGAGCTCCCCAAGGGGTGGGGGGATTGGGGAGCACCCTCCCCCCTGGGAAGACGCAAGAGGAGCCTGGTCTCCAGGGAAGGACTCCTCACACCAATCCCCGCAGAACAAATCCTCTGGTGGAATCACACCAAGGCACTCAGTCCTGGCTTTAACACCATGCCCTCCTTGTGAGTGACAGTCTCTTTCCAGATTCTCTCACAGAAACAGAAAAGCAGCTCTAAGAAACCCCAATCAATCTGATATCTTGACCAAAGGCTATGATAACCAGTAATGATTAAAGGGAGAAAAGGCAATCCCGCTAACCAGATACTGTCTAGAACCTTTTCCGAGAATAACTATAGCATCTATGTGCCAAATGAGTCTGCTAAACATCACTGAACAGATGGAGAAGCTAAGGCCAGAGAGGGGAAATGACTCCCTGGGGTCAGAAACTGGTGGCAGAGCAAAGGCAGGAAGGCCAGGGTCCTCCAAACTGGGTCTGTCAACCCCAAGGCAGCTGTCTGCAGGGACCCCCAGAGCCCCAGGAGGCTCGTCTTAATCACGACTTTGGGCCAGAGGACTGGATGGGGAGCTGCCTGCAGGCCAGGGAAAGGCTTTGGGCTTTTCCTGGCCAAGTGGTTTCTTAGGGGCTATAACTGCTCGGCCAACCCACCTCTTTTCCTTTCTCAAACCCTTTGTCAAACTTACCTCCCTAGGAAAGCCCTCCCTTTCTGAGTACCCCAGCCCCCCAAATTCTAGTCATTAGAGCCAACACGGGCTCTAGGCTCCTCATGTGTGAGAACCCCAACCTCCAATCAGCCTGGTCTCCTGGAGGACCTCAGTGGTTTGCCTCTTTTCTTTATATCCCCTTCAGTGCCCTAGACTGAGCTGGGCACATCTAACCAACTCAGTTGCCTCCCCAACTATGTCCCCTCTCACCGCACGACAGGATGAAGTTAGGCGAGGTCAGCATGATGAAGGGGAAGGTCTGGAGGAGGCCAAAGTAGACAAGGTTGGTGAAGAGGCCCACACCAATCATGTAGGTGGGGAAGCGCTCAAAAACGTAGAGGCCAATCAGCACAGCTGTGGAGAACTGAAAACAACCAGAGGCACACAGTGTGGGGAGCTTCTTCCAGGCAGCCTTTCTGGACTCACTAACCTCCAGCCTACTCAGGGCAACACTCTGTTCATGTTTCAGTCTCTCCTTGTTTCACAGCCACAGTTCTGACCTCCCCAGCTAGTCTCTCAGCTCCCAAAGGGCAGCACTTTTCAATCTCAAAGTTTGTTTGACAGCAACCCACAGTAAGAAAAACAGTTTACACTGTGACCCCAACACATGTACATATACATGATCAAAGTTCAGATTTCAATTCTAGTCTTTCCCATTCCTTTTTTTGTTTTTTGTGGTACGCGGGTCTTTCACTGTTGCGGCCTCTCCCGTTGCGGAGCACAGGCTCCGGACGCGCAGGCTCAGCGGCCATGGCTCACGGGCCCAGCCGCTCCGCGGCATGTGGGATCTTCCCGGACCGGGGCATGAACCCATGTCCCCTGCATCGGCAGGCGGACTCTCAACCACTGCGCCACCAGGGAAGCCCTCCTTTTTTTTTTTTTTTTTAATGCTGATAATGATCTACTGAATTGATTGCACAACCCAATAATGAATCCTTCCTGCAGTTTGAAAAACATTGTTCTGAAGGACTTATAGCTGTCAGTGCTCAACAAAAGGCAGGCAGTTGGTTGAATGAAGGTCTAATTCCTGTACCAACACTCATGAGCTGGGCCTCTGAACCCAGAGCTGAGAGCTATGGTCTTGTCTCCACCACTAACTCCCTACCCCAGGCCATGCCCAAAGTGGAAGTGGCTTTTGACAGCAGGTGACTTGAGAGGCACTGGGCTCGTCCTGTCCAAACGTGCCCCCAGACCCTCCCCAGCCTTTCCTGCAGCTGCAGAAATCTATCCACCAGCAGTCACTCCTGTGGCTTGGACATCAACGGCAAGGATTGTGTCTTCAGGAAGAGAAGCCTTCCACGAGCCCTGAGCAGGGCAGGGCCTGGGGCAGGGAAGGTGTCTCCCTCTTAGACCAAGTCACTTGATCCAGTTAGAAAGAGGGCAAAGAACAAGTACTCAAAACTGTCCTTAAGGTACCTCTCAGTTCTAAATGCTGTAAGCAGAGCAAGGGGCTAAGACCACTGAAGGTGGTCAAACAAAGGCAAAGCCACGGTCCTGTCAACAGAGAATGGGCACTCAGCTCTCGCCTTAAGGAACCAAGAACGAGGCCCGCAGTGAAGCGATCCCACTTGGGGAAGGAGGCCAGGGAAGACCTAGGCCCAGGAGAGCAGACCCAGGGGTACAAGGTACAGGGCAGGGAGATAGGGGATGGTGCCCTCAGAAAACAGCAAGGACACAGGTCTCATCACCCAGGCCAAACTTTCCCCACTTCCTCCTTTTGAGGCAGGGCAAGAGTGAGGGAGATCCTGGGGAAAACTGCCACTTACCCAGATCATGTATTTTATGATCCTGCTGGTGGCCACTGTGTATTCTTCTATCAATTCTGCCAGGTAATAGAGTCCGGCCGCTGGCGGGGGGGAGCAAGCAGGGAGAACGTTAGCCAGGGTCACTCCCACCATGCTGATCACCCCTCTCTCTGCAGCTGGATTCCACTCAACCTTTCATGACTCCATTAGGTAAGGACCAAACCAAACAATCCGTGTGTTACCCTCCCAAGTCGGAAGTAAAACTTTGTCAGGGCAACTAAGGAAAGATTTCATAAAAGTGAATGGAAACCTGTATTTGAGGCCTCAGCACAAACCTAACCTCTGGCCCATAAAAGGGAGTTTCTTTCACTCATTCAGTAAATATTCGCTGGCATTTAGTATGCGCCAGCTGCTGGGCTGAGAGCACAGTACGAGACAGACGAGGTTCCTTCCCTGACCAGCTTTGCGGGGGTGCGGGGGTGTTGAGTGGGAAGGGGAGTCAGACGATCCCAGTAGGACAAGTCAAACCCCATAAGGAGTGCTTCCCGGAGGAGGTGAAGTCTCAGCTGAGATCAAGAGTAGGAACTAGCCAAAAAAGAAAGCCCGTCAAAGTCAGAGTGGGAAGCACCAAGGGCCCGAGGCGAAAGGGCGGGGGTAGGTGTCTGGGAAAAGTTCGGTGCGGCCGGCCCCGCGACGGAGGGCGCGGCAGCGGTTGGCCATGCGCGGGCAAGGGGCACTTGAGTCAGCCTCCCCTGGGCACCGCTGGGGCGGACTCTGTGACTCCTGGAAGGACCCGAGGTCAGGTTAGGCTACTGGGGTCAGGAGGAGGGGCAGGACCAGGCGGGGCAGGAAGGGGGATGCGAAGGCCGGAAGGAACGGGCGGGGGTCTCCCGGCTCTCTCCGGCGCCCTCGTGATGCGACCCCCGGCGAGCACAGATGCCGGAGCTGAAGCCCGCGCGGCCCGGGGTCGCGCACTCTCACCGACGGCCAGCGTGATGAAGGCCACCTGGATGAAAAGCGACAGCCAGCTCAGCACATACATGAACCACATGGCGCCCCCGCCCCGGCCGCCCGCCAGCCCGCCGGGACGGGCCTGCGCGCTCGGGCTCCGGCAACACGGACTCGCCGCCACCGCCGCCGCGTCCCCGCCCCGCGGACGGTCGTGCGCCGCCGCCGAGAGCAGCCCGGCCCGAGCACCGCCCCCAGCCGGGTCCGGACTAGCGCCGCCCGCCGGCGCGGAGGGCCAACCGCTGCTGCCCAGACCGGCGCGCGCCCGCGGACCGCCGGGCTCCCGAGGATGCAAAGAGGGGCCGGTCGGCAATGCAACCACGGGGAGGCGGGACGGTCCTGAGGCGCGGGGACGCAGCGCTAGTACCGGAGCTTGGAACGTAGCCACCGGCCCCTCTCTGTGCACTCCTGCGCCAGCCTGGAGTTGCCCAGGGCTTTCTTTTGCTCCCGCAGGTAACAGGAACAAAACTGTTGAGTGCCTAACGTGTGCCAGGCACTATGCTAAAAGCTAGGCTGTAGGTTCATGATGGAAATTAATCCGATGATGTAGATCATTTTATGGATGGGAAGCCAGGGCCTAGGAAGGTTACTTTGCCTCAGGTTATTGTACATCTAGGAAGAGGCACAGGTAGGAATTGGGGCACCTTTGATTAGTCATCCTCAAGCCTAACTCTCCCTCTCTGTTGACTTCGCCCATTAGGCGCTGAATGCATTTACTACACCTCTGGAAGAGCTAACTGAGGGGCCCCAAGGAGCAGGGCAGCCCTTGTCAAGAAGTTCCCCATCTGGTGGCCGAGACAGGCATGCCAAAATAATGTATAACGGGCCCCTGGTATGTTTCTTATCTCAGAATTTTTTCATGTATAAAAATAAATAAATATTCCTCAGAAAAATTAAACATAGGATTACCATGCTATCAAGAAATAAAGAAGCCCTTATGTATTTTTTAATCGTGGTAAACTATACATAACATAAAATTTACCATTTGAACCATTTAAAATGTACAGATCAGGGCTTCCCTGGTGGTGCAGTGGTTGAGAGTCCGCCTGCCGATGCAGGGGACACGGGTTCGTGCCCCGGTCTGGGAAGATCCCACGTGCCGCGGAGCCGCTGGGCCCGTGAGCCATGGCCGCTGGGCCTGCGCGTCCGGAGCCTGTGCTCCGCAATGGGAGAGGCCACAACAGTGAGAGGCCCGCGTATGGCAAAAAAAAAAAACAACAAAAACATAAGATTACAAAGCAAAGAAATTACACTGAAATACAGATATCAAAAAGTTTTTTAGAAAACTGTGTGATATAATAATATATATGTTTCTTTATTAAAGTGTAACATAACCCAATCTAACAGAAAGTCTAATAACTACCTCCCAGTGACATAATAAGAAACATATATTTGGTCTCTGCCCCCAGTTCCTGACACAGAACTCCTAAATTCCTCGGAATTTCCTGGGTGATAGGAGCATCTTCTGTTCTAATGAGGTGACTCTTGGTGGGTCCTGGTTAGCTTCAGTAAGGGGGCTGGTCACCAGATTGGAAGCTTGGAACTGTTTCTTCTTTGGCCACACTGCGTGACTCATGGGATTTTAGTTCCCCGACCAGGGATCGAACCTGGGCCATCAGCAGTGAGAGCGAGGATTCCTAATCACTGGACCATCAGGGAATGCCCTAGAAGCTTGGAACTTTCAATCCTACCCTCCATCCTCCAGGTAGGGGAGAGGCACTGGAGATTGACTTAATAATCATGAGGAAGCCTCCATGAAAATCTCGAAACCATAGGGTTCGGAATGGTGAATACATCCACATGCTGGGAGGGTGGTGCACCCCAACTCCATGAGGACGGAAGTTCCTGAGCTCAACCCTTCCAGACCTCACCTCTTCTCTGGCTGTTCATCTATGTCCTTTATAATATCCTTTACGATAAACTGGTAAACTAAGTAAATATTTCTGAGTTTGGTGAGCCATTCTAGCAAATTATCGAACCTGAGGGGAGGTATGTGGGAACCCCCAATTTTGTAGCCAAGTCAGACAGAAGTATGGTACCACAGGGACCCATGACTGTGACTGGAATCTGAATTGAAGGCAGTGTTGTGGGACTGGGGTCTTAAAGCTGTGGAGTCTGACGATACCTCCAGGTAGATAGTCTCAGAATTGAATAAAATTATAGGACACCCAGGTGGTGCCCAGAGAGTCGGAAAATTGATTGATGTGGGGGAAAAAACCACACATTTGGTGTCAGAAGTGTGGTGAGTAAAGAGACAGTTTTCCTTTACTACCACAATGACAAAGGAGGGATGAGTGTAAATATTTTCAAAATATCTTCAATCATATAAGAAGAGAGAGTCACAGATACTGCCAACTACTGAGTTTGTTGCCTGCATTCATAATGGAAGGAAATGTTAAATTTCAGTTAGACCTTAGTGTAAATAAAGAGGGGAACTTTTTCCCTTCCAACTTTCTAGAGTCCTTCAGTTTGTCTCCCTGAATTTTATATCTGCTGACTTCTTAGGGGTCCCCACACCCCTGGTTAAGAATTTCTGAGGGTTGTGTATAAGGAGAAGTGGGACCTTAAATGACTGTGTGCTTGGACTTCCCTAGTGGTCCAGTGGTTAAGACTCCACACTTCCACTGCAGGGGGTGCAGTGGGTGAGGGTTCAATCCCTGGTCAGAGAAGGGGAAGTTCCTTGTGCCGCCATGCGATGCGGCCAAAAAAAAAAAAAAGACTGTGTGCTTATTTACAAGGCTCTTCATTACAGCACCGGGAGAGACTGAAAACAACCTAAATGTTCATTATTAGGAAACTGGACAAGTACGTTTTGGTACATTATAAAGCAGAGCCATAAAAACAATTGAGGATGTTCTTTAGGTACCCATAGAGGAGGATCCTCTTTTGAAAAAAGCAAAAGAATCTGCACAGATATTTCTTTATATGGAATATCTCTGGAAGAGTCCATTAAAAAATGGTAACTTTGCTTGCCTCCTAGGAAGAGAAAGAGTGGGGTTCAAGAGTAAGAGGGCATTTCCTCCATATTCCTTTTTATATCCTTAAAGCATTGAACTATGTAAATATATGTAAATGTATTACCTATTCATGAATTAAGTTTAAAATTTAAATGTTTGTAGTATGCTGGACCTGCCAGGATGTCTCAAATTGTCTGTCGTGATAATCAGTCCCTTTGTGAGAAAAGCATGTGGCGCCTTACAGGTAAGTCAGCTAACCTTGGATCACGTGACCTGGCCACCCCTGATTGGCCCAATAGGGGAGCTTCATGGTTAGGTCTTTTCTGTTGGGGAGTTTGTATTTGAGACACAGAAGCATCAGTGAGTAGAAGCACAATAAAATCTCAATTCGTCTTAGTTTTTCCTAAACATTATCCTCCCAAGGAGGAAGGAAAATATAAAAGTATTCTCCCACTCCTCCCCAGAATTGTAGATAAGGGAAACTTGAGGCTGGAAAATGTTAAGGGCATTCAGATGGCTGACCCAGGACTGTTATTCCAGAGCTGGGCATTTTTACTTCCCCACAGTCTCAGAGCCAAAACTGGCCCCAGGTACCAAGGCTGAGGATTCATGTTTCCTCTGGACAGCAGGAAGAAGCCATGATTTCCCAAGAAGGTGGGGCAGGGCTCATGAAGGCTCTTTGGGACCTGTGCTTAGGCAGGAGGTCACCAGGATGAAAAAAAACAACCTCTCTTGAAGGAGGGATGGGGTGAAGCGGAAGGGGTCCCATGCTCAATTCAAGGAGCTCAAGAGTGAAAAGATTTGTAGATTCAAAGGTTTGTTGATTTACATATTGACAGACCTCAGTAACTACATACACTTATACCAATGTTACACATACTCCTTTAACTTTTACTGATTCACGAGCTCATACGTTACCATTTGATTTCCACGTGTGTGGGGATCAGTTCCCATACATCTCAGGATGATGTTCTAGGGAAACTAGCTCTTTCAGCATCATGTGGATCTCTTCCTCATAAGACAATCATTTCCTTTTGTTTCTTTTTATAGTTTCTATAAGTGCACTCTAGTGCACGTATAGTGTTCTTTCTCTGTGCCAGACACTGTTCTGAGTGATTTGTATGTTTTAACCCATTTAACACTCACATCTAGCATAGGACATAATGCTATTACTGTCTCCATTTCACAGATGAGAAACCGAGGCTCAGAGAGGTTCAATACCTTATCTAAGGTCACACAGCTAGTACTTGGAGGAGCTGGGGTTTGAATCTGGACAGTCTGGCTCCAGACCCACGTGGTTTTCTCTGGTCTCTTTAACTAACCTGCTGTCAGGGTGATTCTGCCTGCCTGGTCGTGGGCTGGGCCCCGCTTTATCTCCCTGAAGGCTGCCTGGTCCCCTGGCTCTTCCTTGTATCCCTCTACCTTTATCCTTATAGGAGCTAATGAATACACATCAGGGTTCTGGCTTTGGCCACCTCTGTTCACCTCTGGTCCCCTTCAGCATCTTCCCTAGCTAACCTTCTCACATTCTCACACACTTACACCTTCACTGCACCCAAGGCTGGGGACTGGCTTTAGTTTGTTCTGTGGTCCCAGTGGTTATATGGCCGGGGCCTGAGCATCCCTAGGTGCTCAGAAGGGCGGGGAAGCGTGGAATGAAGAGGCTGGGCAGTGCGGGACCCTGCAGCTCCAGTTCCCCTGACCTGGCTATGTTCGCTGCCGCCCTCAAGTGGCGACCAGAGGACCTGAAGAGGACCAAAGCCAGGGCCGGTTCAAGAGAGAGCGAGCGCACACGTGCACACTTACACTACACACAGTTGGAGACAGGGTCTACCTCAGCATCCAGGCCTCTGCTGCCCCTGCCTGGATTGGCTACAGACAATGATTGTTGTGTAAGAGACACCATGGAGTCAGAGACAGGCAGGGACAGGCCTGGAGATCCAGGCCCCTCTTCCGTCCTCTTCCTCTCCTCCCGCTGTGTAGCTCTTGCCCCTCTCCTGGCCAGCTCCCCAGTGCCAACAGAAGCACAGTGTTGGGGTAGGTACCTGTCGCCCCCCTCCCACTCTATCCCTAACACGTAAAAAGTCCCCTCTCTAAGGTGCCCACACCATAGAGGAACACCTTTCCTGTGACAGTCCATGTAGTCAGCAGGTTTCTCGTTTGGAAGCTCACCTCTTAGGCCTTGGTTCTGCAGCAGGTCAGCCAGAGGAAAATTCTAGGAAGAGACGAACCAGAAACAGTGAAAAACAATGGCCACCCCTATGTCTCCATAATCCACAGGCCTCCTGACCCTGTTTCTCTGCTATGCCTCTGCCCCCACCCAGGCAGCTGCCCTGGTGTTCCTGGCACCCCTCCCCCATCCCTGTCACATGCCTGGGGCCCCAATTCAGGTGGCTGAGTTAAAGAGCTTTCTAGCGACAAGTCCTCAAAAGGCTCTGTTAATTGCCTCAGCATTGTCTTCAGCTAAGCTGCCGGGCCTGCGAGCTGAGAGGACCCGATTGGGGGTGGGGAAGGGTGTGTGCGTGTGCGTGTGCGTGTGCGTGTGTGTGTGTGTGTGTGTGTGGCTGGAGAATGACAGGAAAGAACAAGGCAGGGGAAGGCAAGCACTCTGGGATTCGGCACATAACAACTGAGACCCTTGCAGATGTCTCCCTCTCCCTCTCCCTCTCTCTCTCTCTCATACAAACACACACACACACACACACACACACACACACACAGAGAAGAGCCCCTGAGCAGGGCTGTGGGACCTCCTCTGATGGAAGTCCAGCCAGAGTTGGGAGCTCCTCTCCAAGGTGGCCCCAGGAGCCCGGACAGCAGCCAGCCATTCACATTCACTCCACCTTTACCCACACAGATAGCTGGAGTGTCTCCCTGTCTTGATTCAAGCAGCTCTGAGTGGTCCCCCGTGATAGGAAATCCTGATTAGAAGAAGAGGGACAGCTCTCTCTGACGAGCTAACTCCCCTCGTGGGGGGAAAGAGGAGGCTGAGATGAATATATCAAAGGACTAAGAAGGGTCAGGGCCAGGAGGAAGTTCTACCTCCCACTTCACAAAGCAGGCCCAACATGGGCCTTTATTTGAACACCTTGAAAATTCACTACCCCATGATCTGTGAGGAAATATTTCTTTGTACTGAAGAGAGTGGTCCAGTTTTCCCCTTTGGGACTACCCAGAAAAAGTCTATACACCTGCTATGATATTGTTATTAATGGCTAAGATTTATTGAACATGTCTTTGTGCCAGGCATCGAGCTAGGTCCTTTATACAAACTCTCTTGTTTAATCCTCAAAAAAAGTCTTTAAAGTAGGTATTATTTTTATACCCATTTTACGGAGGAGGAACCCAGGGCACAGAGAGGTTAGGTAACTTTATCAAGGTCACACAGCTAAGAAGCCCCAGATTGGGTGGCCAACCATGCTGCTCTGCCCAGGATACAGGACTTTCTGGGCCACAACCAGGAAAGTCACGGGCTAACTGGACTGAGTTGGTCACCCCCAGTCCCTCGTCTTCCTGGCACCGGTACCCGCATGCTTAACCCCAGAACATCTTGTACCCGTAACCAGTGCCAGAGGAGGACTCCAACTATGGGGATCATCACAAAGGTCATCACAGTGTCAGCCACTGGAACAAAAGTCCAAACACTTCTGCCCGCTGCATCTGGGTGTTCGAGTCGCCAAGGAAAACACAGCGCGGTCAAGCACTGAACGGCCCAATGCTTTCTTTACTCATGTGAAGACAGAGCAAGGGCAGCTTCAGCCGTGGGCCTTGGTTCCTCATGGCCAGCAGGTGGCCCTGATGGCAGGTGCAGCCATCGCGGGGCAGCTGGCCTCTGTGCACCCCTCTTGTGCTGAAGCAGAAGCATCCCAACCCCTCCTTCCTGGAGTCCGGAATACTGAAAGCTGGGGGCGTGCCAGAGGGGCACTGATGTGCACGTATAAGTGGGACAAAGGAGCACACGCTGAGCTTGAAACGGGGAAGGATATTCCCACACGAGGTTGTAAGCCCGGCACAGGCTGTATGGGCTCATTATCTCTTGGGGAGGAAATGTTCCAGGCCCAAGGCCTGTCCTTAGGCCCAGTTAGGGTAGAAAGACTGCACACAGGAGAATGCCTTTCCCAACAGATACACTGCCTCCGAATATCCACTCTTCAGATATTTCACACACACACACACACACACACACACACACACACACACACACACTCCCCCCAGCCCTCTCCTTCCAGTCGTTCTCATATGGAACACTTTCGTCTCCTATGCCAGCCTCCTCCGCTTCTGCAGGCTTTTCGTATCACCTCCTGTGATGGGCAGAGTCAGGCGCTTACCGTACAAGGGAACGAGGATGTGCAGGCTAAAGGGCTGCTGCCCGATCGCCCTCTTTTCCTTTTTCCTTCCTAACAGAACATCTATTTTGCTTAGGGCAGCGATGTGTCCTGCTTTTCAAACAAAACAAAACAAAGCTCTCTGCTATCAACTTCAGCCCAACCATTGGGGGATTGGGTGGTAGCAGTAGGCAGGGGAAATACGGTGCATATCAAACCCAAACTGCACCATAGCGTGGTGCCCTATTAAGGGTCCCTCCTTGCGCAGGCGTTCTCTCTCTCTGTTCACACAGAGTTAAGAGAGTTGGAGGTTCCTTCTCTTTCTGTGGTGTTCTTGCCTGAGACGCAGACTCCCCAGCCTCACCCGTTACACCCTGTCCCACCTTTCCACCTGGCAAACTCTTACTCATTCTTCAAGACCCAGCTCCAATGTTTCCTGAGACGGCGATGAGCGTGTGCTCATTTCCTTGTCCCCAGTGCCCAGCACAGGGCCTGGCACGCAAGAACCATCCTGCCTACAGGGCTGGCCCCTGCAGCAATATTTAGCCAGATCACACTACAGATCACACTAGGGGTGGATCCTTAAGGACAGCCAGATTCTCTTTCCCAGAAGTGGAAAGGCGGCCTGAGAGAAAGCTGGGCCAGCCTGTGTGTAGCACGTGGCACTTAGCCAATAAGATGTCAACCTGAGAGCCCACTATATGGGTGACAACGAAGGAAGCTAGGCTGTGGTGAGAAGGCCCCGGGCTGATGTGTGAGAAGATATGGTCAGTGGGGTGTGGCTTAGTCTTTCTGGATCCCAGTTCCAATCCCTTCCCATCCCAGCTTCCTCTTATCGAAGTTTCTGTTTCTTGCAACTCAAGAGTCCTAACTGCCCCAGGGGAAGAGGTTACCAGGGCTCAAAAGACGCTGAGGCGAAGTTTGCCCCCCCCCCACCCCCTTCTCCGATGTCAGCTGCATCTACTCCCCCCTCGTTGTTTAACCCTGAGTCAGGGGGTTCTTGGTCCGGCTGCACAGCGTAATGACTTCAGACCAAGTGGGATCAGACTCTGGGCTGGGGCCCCGGCTGCGGCAGTTTTTCAAATGCCCCCTTTGCACCGGATACCCCACTGTTTGCACAGGGCTTCCACAGGGCAGCCAGGATGGGAACCACTGCCCTGGGGGAGAGAAGTACACAGGGCACTAGAGTCTGGAGTATCCACCCCCCTCAGGTAAGACAGCAGTGACGTTGGCCGTGGAGGGGCCTGCCTGTGTGGCCAGCCGTGCCCAGCCTGCTCTTCTTCTCCCTCCCCTTCCTTCCAGCCCCTACTCAGCAAAGGGCAATCCCTGAAGCTTTCCCGGCTCTATGCCGCAGCCCTACACGACACTGAGTCATGGCCCTGGAGCCCTAAAGGACCTTGTTCCTCCTGGCTGCCTGCTCTGCACAGACCCTCCTCGCCCCACTCACAGTGCTCTTCCTGCCCTTTCTCTCTGCCCATCCAGTCCCTACCAGTTTTTCAAGACCCACTTAATATTCCTCCTCCAGGAAGTCTTTCTGAGTGTTCCAGCCCATTCTAGCCCCCATCTTCTCTGGCCTCCTGTTTGCATCCAGAGTCCACGGTCCTCACCGGGCTCATTTACTGCCTCCTGGTGACTTTCCCAGGAGCAGACATTTTGCCTCCGCAGCCAGCGTGTGAGACCCACGCCTGCCCTCCCCCAGTCTGGCCAAACCCCGGGGAAAGCACGTGGACAGGCTCAGAAGCCAGGGCCCTGGTTGCCGCCCCCAGCCCCTCGCTCTCGCCTCCTCACTCCTGAGTTTCAGTGAGGGTCCACCCTTAGGAGGGTCCAGAGAGAGTCAGGTTGGAGGGGAGCACACAAAGATGGAACTGTGCCGCTGCGTGGATACACTGGGAGGGGGCTAGATTCCCTCTGAATTGCCTCCCAAATCTGAAATCTCTGAGCCCCGCCCACCAGCTGTCGTCCAACCAACCCACCTCCTCTCCTCGCCGCCACACTCCGTGCCCCTTCAGGGTCGGCGGTGGCAGTGACGAGAGTCTGAAACCACAGCCAGAGGTCAGTAAGAGGCCATGATCAGTGCGGGACTGGTTTGGGGGCCGCCAGCCTGGCCAGCCATGCAGCGGTGGGTGACAGTGACAGCAAAGGCAGAGCTAGGTGCGGATCTGTGCCCACCAGCCCAGCACTGCCACATCCCCCAAGAGCTGCTTGTCTCCCACCACCCAGGCCACCGCCTGGATGAGAACGCAGGAGGCGGTTTCTCCCCGAGAGCTTGGGGGTCATGCTAGGGAGCAGGGTGTTACAGCTTCAGAGGCTGACAGGCGACACACCGCAAGACCCCTCACACACTCACACCCAGAAAGGTACGTACCCAGAGAGGCCCCCACACAGCCTGCACGTGCGGGGGCCACGGAGGTGCTCACGGGCGCAGAGGCACGGGTACTCGCCCACAGACACACAAACAACCAGGAAGGACCCAGACTGACCCAGACACCTGATGCGCACCTGTACACACACACACAAACAGACCCGCAGACGCAGCTTCCCAGCAAGACACACGGACACAGGCCCCACGCCTGCCGTCATCCCGAGACGCCCCAGTCCGTCTGCCCCCCTGGAAGGAAGCCTTTGGCTGGTTTGATGGGGTGACAACAGTTTTCCCACCTAACAACCTCCCTTTCCTTTCATCCACCCAACGTCTGCCGGAGGCCTTCTGCAGCGGGCCCGCTAAGCTTCCCCTCCGGGGCCTGCGAGGCTCTCTGGCCAGGGCTGCGGGGTTTGGGAAATGGAGGACAAGGTCTGAAAGCAGTTTCTCGAACCTTTGCTGGGGTCTAGAGCCTGCCCTTCCCACGGAGCGGCGGGGTGAGGGGCAGTGAGGCCTCCAGCTTTCCCAAGG